CTCTGAGCACTCAGAGTATTCACAGGACCAGCACAACCTTCCAGCTCCCTCCTGGGTGAGATGTTCTCCTCCATCCTGAGCCCACCATGAAGACACAACCCCTTCTCACCTGCACCTGCTGCTTCTGAGCGTTCAGCATGTTGGGGTCGATGGAGAGGGGGCCCAGCACGCTCATCATCAGCTCCTTCTCCATCAGCCAGGGCCTCAGCTGGGCCTCAGTGGCCTGGAACGTGGCCAGCTGGGTCGCTGACTCCTCCAGCTTCTGCTGCCGTGCAGCTGTGGCCTGGCTGGCCCTCTCCCACCTGCAATCTGAAGCAGCACCTCTGTTGGCCGTGGCCAAGCTCCTGGCCAGCCCATCCCTCCATCACCAAGGTTGTTTTCCCCTCCCATGTGGTTCTCCCCATGGGAAATCTCTGTTTTCCAATAAAACTCTATCCACGTTCCATCTAAGCCATCACCCAAATCCAGTGGCTTTCTGCTAGGAGCTCCTGGAAGCTCTTAGGAGAAAACCTTGCAAGCAGGATTTCTGTGCTCTAGTCACTGCTGCCATGACCTTGGGTGAGCCATCCCACATCCCTGATAAATGAATATACTCTCGTGTGTACCCATCCTCACTCAGAACTCCTGGATGGAGCCAACACATCCCTGCCACTTCAAAAGAAGGAATCTCTGGGCTTCTTTTTGAACACACAGCCTTGTTTAGTCAACACTTAATTACCCAGGGTAGCCTCACTAATGACTGGAATTTTATATCAAGCAGCGAAGCTTTTAATCAAAACAATCAACCTGTGCTGCTAACACATTCCCCCCCACTACCTTTTTTTTTTTTTTTTTTTTTTAAGGAGCAATTTAAGGAGGCAATCCTTTAAAATCCACATCCATCACAGAGATCCCATTAATCACGACAGGGCTCATCTCAGGAACACCTTCCACACCAGACAGCTCAGAGATAGGTTTGCTGTTTACTGAATTTTAATTAGAAGTGACTCTGCTCTAGCGTGACTTTGGGGTTGCCCCTCACTCCTGAACCTCCTCTAACGTGATGTTTGGTGACAGAAGCCTCATTAATGCTTCAGGCACTTACTCAGGTCTTCCTGCATCTTCTTCCAGTTCGCTGCTTCTGGGGAATCTGGATATTTCTCCAGCAAGCCAGAAAGTGCTTCCTTCACCTTCTGGATCTTCCCAGAATTCTGTTCCAACTCAGCCAGAAATGCCTGGAAAAGAATGATTTGAACTTCCTCAGGCACAGGGCAGGAGAATCAATGAGCAGGAATGAAGCAGCACCTACAAGCTGGAGCTGGATGGTTTCTGCTCTTTGCTCTTCAGTTAAATCAATTTTTTAGCACTATCGTGACCTAACTTGGCAGCAAGGGCAGGGAAAGGCTGGGAATTGCTTTCCAGGAGAAAGTGGAGTGACTCAGCAGCAAGGGCTCCAAATCATCTCTTTTTCCCCTCAGCCTGACATCAACATGTGTAAAAGCAAAGGGGAACTCTGGGTTGATGCTCCACGAATCTGCCTGGAATTCACAGAATTCACAGAATGACCAGGTTGGAAATGACCTTCAAGATCATTGAGTCCAACCCAGTCCTGACATCTCAACTGAACCTCGGCACCCAGTGCCACATCCAGGCTTTTTAAAACACATTCAGGGATGGTTGATGGTGACTCCACCACCTCCCTGGGCAGCCATTCCAGAACTTTATCCCCATTTCTGTAGAAACTTTTTGCTGATATCCAACCTAAATTTCCCTTGGTGCAGCTTGAGGCTGTGTCTGGGAATGCCCTTCTTTAACTCAGGGCAAATTGTGCTAATTTGTGGCTTGTGGCTAATTCTGTGCAATTAAGCCCAATCTCTTGGATCCTCTGGGAGATGCACAGCAGAGGGGTGTGGAACTGGATGATCTTTAAGGGCTATTTTGTGATTTTATGACCCCAGAAAGTCGGGAAGCGCCATCACCTTGTTGTGCTCAGCCTGTGCTCTCATCGTCTCCGTCTTGGTGGGCGAGGAGGAGGCGTCCAGCTCGGACAGCATCCTTTCCTTGGACTCCAGCCACTTGAGCATGGAGCTGGCCTCCTCCTGCACCTGCTGCATGCTGTCCAGCATGGCTGAGAGCTGCTGCAGGCGCTCCTGCAGGGCTGCACCCAGCGCCTGGTACCGCCGGCTCACGTCCGACACGTCGCACTGGATCTCCGTCAGGTCTGCACCCAAAAAACCAGCCCGGGGTCAGCAGCACTGCCCACCATCCTCCTCCTCACACTATCAGGGTCTAACCCAGCCCCAGGCAGCCACAGAGAGCTGAGATGAGGAGTAAAGAAGCCACGTTCTGCCGGTGGAGCGACGTCGCATCATCCTCACCTCTCCTGCCATGGGGGATTTTCCACTTGTCCCCCCTTATGCCCTTTGACAGTTTACAAACAAAGCTCTCTGTCGGTGAGCTTGATGCAAGCTGAGCCCCCTTTTCATAAAGCCGCTGCTAACACAAGGTTAAATAATTTGGCAGCAAGATATGAAGCCATTTTTATGCACCTATTATCTCGCCGAACCGCAGAACTAACAGCAGATAACGGGCAATAATTAAAATTGCTCTTCAAACTGGAGGGTTGGATGCCGTTATAATCCCACAGAACCAATAAATTTAATTGCAGGCCTTCGAATGATCTGCCATTTATCAGCTCCTAACACCACCTGACGAGGTGTCAGGGTGCTGTCACTCCCCAGGGCTGCTCCTCCCCGTCCTTCAGCCCGACCTCCAGTGCAGCAGCTGAAAAATTCCCAACCCCTTGCCAAGCTCATTTCCCTTCTGCTGGGGGGCTGGCAGTGCCACACTGAGGTTGGCATTGCCAGGGAATGGAAATGCAAGGATGAAAAAGGGACAGGGTGGTGTTGACAGCGAGCTCACCTTTGCAGGTGTGGTATCCGTTCACGCTGCCTCCTGAGCCTCCTGCAGTGGGCAGAGGGGCACCTGGGCAGAGGGGACAGGGACAAGAGAGACAAGAGGGACAAGACAGAAGTGTCAGGGGTGCAGGCAGCAATTGAGGAATGGCTGCTGCATGACAGGGACCACCAAGCACTGACGTGGCATCTCCATCGTCCGCCTGCCCAGCACGGGGCATTAATTTGGTTTGGAATCCCTTCATCTCTTCTCCTCCTGTTCCCCTCATTTTCCTGGAGCTGTTCCTGCCTTTCTGGAGCTTCTGGAGCTGGGCAGCTCTGCTCTCCCAGCATCCCAACATGAGAGCAGGGATAATGTGGCTCCTGCATGGGCTGGGGGACCACAGGCATCTTGCCTCGCCTGGGAAGCTGCCACCCTGAGCATGATTTTGTGACTTACACCCAATAAAACTGCTGAATGCCTTCCCTGAAGGGATTAATTCCTCCACATCCTCCTTTTTTATGGGATGAAATTATTCAAAGCAGCCCTGTGTTCATGCTGTCGTTTGCCCAGAGATGCACCAGTGTCCCTTCTTTGGACACCAGATGTCACAACCAAAGGCAGATTCACATTTTCAGGCAGGTCTCTCTTTTCTAACCACGTATTTTAAACCTTTCATGGACATAAGGGGCTGCACCTTTGGTCACCCTCAAGCCTCTCCCCACTTCTCCTGATGGTTTCCCTGAGAACTGCTCATGAACTTAATCCTGACAAACAAATCCAGACCATAAATTCCCATAAATTCCCATCAGTGATGAGAGTCCAGGGACTTGTTCTCACAAGCTGGAAGACATCTTCGAGCTGGTTTCCAAACGAACCAGACATAATCTCATTGCTTCACAGACTTGAAGCCAAAAGGGAGACCAGTAAATCACATCTGACTATCACAGCCCCCAAATGTCATCCAGATATGAAACCCAAATGCTGGAGGTTGATTAAAACACTCCAGCCCTCAGGAGGCTGAAGAACATCACCAGGAGAGAGCAGGAGCCACTTCCATGAGCTCCCCAGCTCTACCAGAGAGTGATGTGTGTACCCACAGCAAACACAGGGCAATTCATTAGGCTACAGTTAATTAAGCCAAGTTAGGATGATGCATTGAAGCAATGAGTGGCAGTGACTCAACCACTGGGCTGAGCCTCACCATACTCAGATCACCACAGGCCCTCTGGATTTGGTTAAAAGGAGGAAATAATCTCATTTTTTGCTGGAGGCAGGCTTGGAGGAGGCAGGCTGACAGCAGAGATGTCCTCAGGAGCGCTGGCCACCACTCACCTGCCTTGGGAGGGGTGTTGGGGGCCGTGATCTCCACGATCAGGTTCTCCAGGAGGGTCCCTCTGCGGCCAATCTCCTCCACCTGGGGGCCCTTCCCCTTCCATTCCTCCAGGAGATCCTGCTCAAAAGCCAAGTTTAGGGTTTTGCCTGGCCACAGCCCCCTGTCCCCTCTGTGGGGACACCAGCAGCTCATGGCTGCACTGGGGGAAGTGGCTGTAAATCTATTTTTACCAGGAGGGGGGGAAATCAAACAGCAAAAAATGCTTATTTCCCAACTAATGGGTCTGCTGAATGAAACCTTCTCCCTCCCACCGTTCTGGGGACATCCCTCCTCCCCCTCGCTGCCCTGGGTGCTGTGGGGTGTGAGGGCTGTGGGTGATTCAGCAGAGCTGAGTCAAAGCCCAGCACATCCTGATTTATCACATCTCTGATTTATCACATCCCTGATTTATCACATCCCTCTCTCTGCTGGAGCACAGCAGGGGCTCGGGTGACAGGAGGCCACCATCCACATCCACCATGGGAAACACAGAAAAAACAGCATGTTCAGGTCTCCCACTCCTAAATCCTGCCCACAGCAGGCACAGGGAGTGACAGCAAACCCAAGGAATCTCCCACTGCTCCCTGCTCTGCACGGGATGCACGCTGAGACCACCAGCAAGCCTCTCCTTCCTGGGATTTATTTCACACCCCAGCATTTCAAGGCTTTCCCAAGGATTTCAAGGCTCCCACCTGGATCTGCTGCCTGCGCTGCTGCAGCTCCTGGGTGCCCAGGGAGGTCTCAGCAGGTGGAATTTTGCCTTCAGTCTCCCTCAGCCACTTCCTGACGGCGCTGACCAGGTTCCGAAACTCGTCCAGTTGCTCCTGGCAGGATGAGGCATCCTTTTCTCTGGGAGTGAAAAGGTTTTGGAGAGTCAGAGCTCGTGCTCTGCCTTGTAATTACCCCCTCCTGAATGTGGCACGGCTGTGTCCCTAGGAGCCCTTTTTTAATTATTATTATTATTATTATCAGATGTTGCCAGGGAACAGCACTAAATGGGGTGCACCCAGTGCCAGCCCCTCGCTGCTGCTGACGCCCTCAAATCCTGCCTGGTGGCACTTTTGGGCACTCCAATGGTGCCAACAGCCACAGGACCATCCCTGCCAGCCTGCCCAGGCTCTTTGTCCTGGGAAAAGTGACATTTTTGGGAAGACAGGGCTCATTGAGGCCCCTGAATCCCTGAGGAGCCCAGACTGTGCTGCTCCTCCTTGGACACAGCTCCATCCATCCAGCCCATCTTGGGGGAACAAGGCAGTCTCAGGCCCCTCTGGCTCATCCTTGCTGGCCACAGCAGCCCTGAATTTCTGGGGATTATTGAGTGTTTCATGTCATTTTCCCCACCATCTTCCCTGCATCCCACAGCTCCATCCATCCAGCCCATCCTGGGGAACAAGGCAGCCCCTGGATGGGGGTCATGAGCCCCTCTGGTTCATCCTTGCTGTGTGCACAGCCCTGAATTTCTGGGGATTTTTGGGAGTTTCATCTCCTTTTCCCCACCACCTTCCCTGCATCCCACAGGGATTTTGGAGATACAGAGAGGTGTGGATGCTGCTGCTCTGACCCTGCTCCAGCTCCCTTTTATCCCCATTTCAGGGCACTCCAGGCTGCTCCCCATCCTCCCAGCAGCCAGCAGGACGCCCAGGGCTGGAGCTGAGGAAATGCAGAGCTCCTGCTCCCGCAGCAGCACCAGGAATTTTTCACAACGCCCCCAGCCAAGGCTTTTTTTAAAGCGTCAGCTGGAGCAGAGCTGCCTCAGGATCCTGGCGTGGGAGGAGGGCGGCAGGAAGAGCTGGCTCATGTCCCCCCTCCTTGGAAAGGAGATCTCCACAGGGAGGGCCTTGCTTGGACCATGAGGCCACCCCCAGACTCCCCTCCTTGGGACTCACCTGTCCTTTGCCACCTTTTGGAGCTGCAGGAAATCTTTCTTCAGGCTCTGCAGCTTCTCCTGCTGCTGGGAGGAGCTGGGGGTGAAGCCACAGGAGCTCAGCTCCTCGGCCAGGTGCTCCAGGGTGGCCAGGTCCTCCTGGTGCTGCCTCATCTCCGAGTTCAGCTCCTGCCAAGAGCAAAGTGGGGATGCTGACCACGTTCCCCAGCAGCAGAGGGGACGGACTGGGCAGTGCCACAGCCTGCTGAGCTCTGTGTGGCACCAGTGCCAAATGTTGGGCACAGCTCGCTGCCACCTGCTCCTCCAGCTCAGCAAATACTTGGAGCAGCTGCAGGGGCAAATCCCACTTTTCCCAATGCTGGTGACTGGGACAGGGGGCCCTAGACCAAGCCAAATCAACCCCTGCCACAGCACAGGTGTCTGGTTTTGTGTCATCTTCCAGCATTTCTGAGTGCATGAAGCACCCCCTGTGCCAGGACACTTGTGGGAATCCTGCACAGCTCCACAGCACCCTTGAAAGTCTCCAAAGCAGCACTGAGCAACCTGGTCTAGTGGAAAATGTCCCTATCCCTAAGAGGGGGCCATGGAATGAGATGATCTTTAAGGTCTTTTCCAAGCCAAACCATTCCAGGATTAAACACTCCAGCCCTCAGGGGGCTGAAGAACAGCACCAGGAGAGAGCAGGAGCCACTTCCATGAGCTCCCATCACTCCCACGAGTGATGGCTCCAAGACTTCCAAGGTCTCTGGTTCTAAAACCTCCAAGGTCTCTGGCTCTGAACATCCAAGATCTCTGGCTCTAAAACCTCCAGGGTCTCCAGCTCTAAACCTCCAAGATCTCTGGCTCTAAGACCCCAAGGTCTCTGGCTCTAAGACCTCCAAGAACTCTGGCTCTGAAACTTCCAGGGTCTCTGTCACTCGTGCACTGCCCTCCCAGGGATATTTTGCTGTATTAACCCCTTGGAGTCTTTAATTGATAAAATCCTGCTGTGTTTGGACTGGATCCTAAAAGACCCATCTGAAAACCAGCCTGGTTCATAGGAAACACCACCCCGCTTTTCCCACAGCTGGGAACAGCTGGATCCTGCCAGCCTGGACCTTTTTCAGACCCCTGGTGCAGGTGGAGCTCCTCCCCAGGGCCTCACCTGGATGTGCTGGGAGAAGTGAGCGATGTCGTGGTCCGGCTGGTTGCCGGACGCCAGCAGCCGCGTCCTGCTCTCCGTGAACTGCTGCAGCTTCTCCCACAGCTGCTCGTACTGCTCCACCTTGGGCAGCAGGCCCTTGAGGGTGTCCTCCCGCTGCTGCTGCTGCTGGCACAGCCTCCCAAAGTGCTCTGTCACCCGGGCCAGCTTGTCCTGCAGCGTGGAGGCCGCGGGGCTGTCGGCGGCCTCGGTGAAGCGCGTCACCATCTCCCTGGTGGCCTCCAGGCTGCTCCTCTGCCTGGCAATGTCCTGCTTCAGCTTCTGTGGGGAGCACAGCAGGACAGAGAGGGGTTTTTAAGGAGGGTTCTTCAGCAGAATTAACCGGGCAGCCCTCTGGAGCAGCAGCAGGTGGTTTGACACAATGAGAGTTGGGAAAAAATAGTTTTGTATCCCAGTTTTTCTTTCCTTTCCAACCTGCTCAATATGCTCTGCATTTCCCTGTGTTTGAAATCTTGTTAGCAAAGAAAAAAGGAGACTTTCAACAGTTTGCCCAGAGATGCTGGAGCTGCCCCATCCTTGGAAATATCCAAGGCCAGATTATACAGGGCCCTGAGCAAGCTGGTCCAGTGGAAGGTGTCCCTGCCCATGGCAGGGTGTTGCAATTAGATGGTGCTTAAGGTTCCTTCCCACCCAAACCATTCAGGGATTGTATTAAAATAAAATAAAATAAAATAAATAAAATAAAAATAAAAATAAAAATAAAAATAAAATAAAATAAAATAAAATAATTTTTTTAAAAAATATAAATTAAAAAATAAAGGTAAAAATAAAAATTCAAACAAAAATTAAAGTAAAATAAAAAAATAAAATAAAATAATAAAAAAAAAATAAAATAAAAGTAAAGGTAAAAATTCAAATAAAAATTAAAGTAAAATAAAAAAATAAAATAAAATAAAAATAAAAAATAAAATAAAAGTAAAGATAAAAATTCAAATAAGAATTAAAGTAAAATAAAAGAAAATAAAATTTAAAAAAATTTAAAAAATTAAAAGATAAAAATAAAATAAAATAAATTAAAATTAAGATAAAAATTCAAATAAAAATTAAAGTTAAATTAAATTAAATTAAAATAAAATAAAAATAAAATAAAATAAAATAGTTCTGCTCATATTCCTTTTTTAGGGTTGTTTTGGTGCTTTCAGCACTCAGTTACCCCTGCATGGTGCAGGGGCTGCTCTGGGCTGTTTGGGGTGAGGGAGCCAGCCCAGCCTTACCACACTGGTGGCAAGCGAGTCCTGGATGGAGGCAGAGGTGAGCACAGCTGGCTGATCCTTCTCCAGGCTCTTCTCAATCTCAGCCACGGACTGGAGGAGGCTCTCCAGGCTCTCCTGGACGCTCTGGGACTGGGCAATGGATTTCTGCAGCAGGTCTGAGCGCTCGGACATCTGCTGGGAGAGGCTCTGGAAGCGGCTCACGATGGCATCTGCAGGGTTCAGCACAGAGCACACTCAGTGGCACAGAGCTCCAAGAGCTCAGAGAGCAGCCAGGGTCACCTTTGGCTCCCCAAAACTCTCAGTGATGACAAATCCCTGTCCCCAAATTCAGCAGTGAAATGGGACAAAACACAAGTGGCCACATCCCTCCGCACATGTAAACCCTGAGGATGCTCTGCTACATAATTACCCCCAAATTCCCCCCAAAAAATGATTTATTTTTGCCCCTTCTGGCTTGTTCCCACTCTCCCCAGCCCTCCCTGGCTGCTGCTTTGCTCTGTACCTGTTGTCTCCTGGATGTGGCCGTGGTCTGGGGCTGGCTCCCCTTGGATGTCCAGCAGGGTCCGAGCTGCTTTCTGCAGCTTCTCCACTGGCACCTGGTGCTCAGCCAGGTCCCCCTGCAGTTGCTGTTTCCACACAAGACAAACCAAAATCAGAGATGGGTCCCAGGCGGGATTGCCACACTCATGGAGCTTTTACACCCTCTGAGGGATTCTCTGCACTTCATCACTGAATTTTTAAGAAATTATGGAAAAATCTACCCCCACACAGAGCTGGATCAGAGGGTTTGGGCTGTCCCAGTGCCTTGTCACCCTCATGGGGGAGGAATGTCCCTCTCTATGCCCCTCTGGAGTGTCTGCAGCCCCTAAGCACCTTTCCCAGAAGTTTGACTCCACCTGACCTGCAGCACAGAACCTGCTACACCTGCATTTTTGCCCTCAACCAGCACAAAAAAACCCCAATGGGTCAAATCTCCCTGCTGCTGACTGCTCAGAGCAGCCAAATTCCCATCCAGGCTCCAGCACTGCTCAGGAAATCCCTCAAATGTACCTTGGTGCTGGCAAGCTGCTTCTGCAGCACGGCCAGATCTGAGGAAACCGTTTCTGAGAGCAGCTTCCCCAGGGCAGCCTCACTCTCCTGCAGCCACGTCCTCAGAGACTCTGCCACCTCCTGGAACTGCTGGTAGTGATCCAGCAAGGTGTTCAGGTGGGAGCCCAGCTTGGAGCACTGCAAGGGAGCAAGGAGAGGTGATAAGGATGCACGTAAATGCTGAGCGGCCCGCGGGAAAAGGCACAGGAATCAGCAAGAAAGAAAAGGCAATTAAAAAAAAAAAAATCAATCTTGCCACAGGCTAAATGAATTACTAGGGGTGACATGCAGACCAACAGCAAGACAAGGGTGTTGCCCACTTCTTGGAGAAGACAATCCTTGTCCTACAATCTATAAATGTCCTGGCAGCTGGGACATAGGAGGAAAAGAGCCCCCAGCTCCCAGCCCTTCCCATACCTTGGAGTGCAGCGTGGTGTATCTCTGCGTGGCGTCCTCCAGCTTGCTCTTGACCACACTCCTGGACATCACCAGCTGGGATTCATCACCCCCAGCATCCCCATCCAGAAACTTCTCCCCCGACATGGTGACGAAGCGCAGGTCCCCCTTGTGGGAGATCACATCCTCGGCGAAGCTGCCCTGGCGCCGCAGCAGCTGCCTCAGGGAGGCAGGGTCGCTGTCCCCCTTGTACATGCCCTGCAGCTCCTGCTCTGCCTGCTCCAGCCAGGCCTGGAACTCCCCGTGGTCCTGCAGGAACTTGTGGAGCTCCTCCCTGAGGAGCTGCACCCGTTTGAGCTGCGCCTCGGCGCGCGCCAGCGACGCCGGGTACCGCTCCCGCAGCTGCGCCAGCTGTGCCTGCAGCCTCTCCTGCTCCTGCCCAGCCAGGCTGGGCCCCTGCTTGTCCAGGAAAGCCTGTGCTGCCTGCGTGGCCAGGATGATGTCCTGCTGCTGGGACAGCAGCTCCTGGTGCTGAGCCTGGAAGGTGCAGGGAGAAAGGTGAGCTCGGTGCTGAGGGGCTCTGCTCGCCTCTGCAGGTGTAAATTTAATGCTAAAGACCAAAGATAAATGGGAAGGGAGTTTAATCTGAGCTGATCCCATTTTTGCTGGAATGTCATTTGCTGTGGTTTCTGCTTCCTTTCAGAAAGCAGGAGACACTCTAATTAGTTCTTGCATTCTGCACATCCATTGTTGCTCCCAAACACTGAGAGGAGAACGTGAGGGATTCTGGGGAAGGAGCAAGGGAGCCCTCCTAGACCCACAGAGCTGCCAGGAGATCACAAACAGGGGGATTGGGGCCAGCATTGGAAGGGTTAAAGGGCACAGTGGAGCAGCCTGGTCTAGTGGAACGTGGGAGTGGATCAGGATGATTTTTTAGATCCTTTCCAAGCCAATTATTTTCATGATTCTGTGGCAAAGCTCTGCTCGCCTCTGCGTCACCCAGGAGTTGTGGCTGGGCCAGCATTGGAAGGGTTAAAGGGCAGAGGGGAGCAGCCTGGTCTAGTGGAAGGTGGGAGCGGATCAGGATGATCTTTAAGGTCCTTTCCAAGCCAATTATTTTCACGATTCTGTAACAAAGCATCAACAGGGTGGGGAAAACTGGGAGCATCCCAGGTTGGGCCACAGGAGTACAGAGTGAGCCCTTCTGTGGGCATCATGGGCACCTGCTGGACCCTGGCTACCCTGTGTGGGTGGGCACACACCCACCACACATCCTGCATCTCCTGCAGGGCCTGTCTGAGCTTCCCACATGGAGAATCCCATATTTCACACCCAGCTAACAGCAGGGACAGGCATGGGGCAGGAGGCTTTGGGTGGGACAGGGTGTCAGTGCTGACCTTCAGCCTCTCGTAGTGCTCATCCAGGCTCTCAGCAGCACTGCCTGCTCCCACAGTGTGGCCATCAGGGACATCCCCAGTGCTTTTTGCTGTGCCTGGGCTGGCAGGGTGTGGTCTGTACTCTGGGAGCTCTCCCCTCTGCTCCAGCGATGCCACCCAGCTCAGGAGGGAATCGATCTTATTGCTGTTCTCCTCCAGCTCCTTGGCAGCTTTCACCTGAAAGCACAAGGGCTCCAGATAAGAATGACCCAGTTCTTGCATGTTCAGCAGACTGCTGCACGGGGGAGGGAGACAAAAATCAGCAGAAAGAGGGAAAAAAAAAAAAAAAACCCGAGGAGTTTCCCAGCCTCAGCAAATGCCTGAGACACCTCCAGACCCTTTGTGGCTCTCTGGAAGGTGCAGAAAAGCTGTGAAACATCTCAGCCTCACTGCTACATTGAATTTCTCATCCTCATACACCCCAAAAGGGCTGGGATGTGATTGGCAATCCTCATCCATCAGGGGTCACCCCAAAGGCAGAGTAAGGGACCTTTTCCTCCCCCATTCCCTCCACAACCAGCTGCAGCTCCCAACGCATTTAATGACAGAAATATCTGGGGGAAACCTCACCCAGGGAACACCCAGGAAGGAACCACAAATTTCTCTGTGCTGCATCACCCAGATGGGCCCCCAGGACCTCCCAGTCCCCCTCCAACAAAGCCTGGAGGTTCCACAGCTCCTGGCACGTTACCTTCTCAGTCTCCTGCTGCACTGCAGCACTCACTGCACTCTCCAGCTCCTTCTGGGCCACCTCTGTCCTCTCCTGCAGGGACTGGTACTGCTCCTTGGCACGCTGCAGGTCCTGCTGCAGCGCTGCCAGCTCCCCAGGCTCCAGCTTGGCCTTGTTCTCCTCCAAGAACTGCTCTGTGCTCTTCAGGACACCGGCGAAGGAGGCGGCTCTGCTGTGCATGCTCCTCTGCAGCTCCTGCAGGGGTGGGTGAATTCACGAGGCTCTGGGCACTGCTAAAGTGAAACCTCCCCACCTCTGCCCCCCAGAATTTAAACATCACTGACCTTAACATCGCTCTGCCTCTGCTGGAGGGCGGGCAGGTCCCCCTCTGCTCTCTGCTGCTCTGCCAGGGTGTCCTCAGCCTGGCCCAGCCAGCGGCTCAGCTCGGCCAGGCTCCGTGCCCGGGCTGCCTGCTGCTCCTGCAGCGTCTGTGGGCACAGCAAAGGGGACAGGGGCACAGTCAGGGCCAGCCCTGCACCTCCTCTCACTTGCTGCTGAAAGGCAAGGTGAGGTTACAGCTCCTGGAGGGGAGGATGCAGCACAGAAAACTTTGCGGATCTCCAGGTGCTCCCTGTCCGGCAGCAGGTGTCACATCCCTGCCGAGCTGGTGGCACTTTTGTCACCATTGGAGGCTTCTCTCTGTTGAGCTGCAAGATGGAGCTGCACTGCTCTCCCAGCAAAACTCAGCCACGAGTTTCTGTGCCTTTTCCATTCCACTTTACAAACATTTAAACTGCAGCAGAAACTCACTGAGTGAGAGGCAATAACAGCCTGGGGCAGGCAGCGCCACTGTGGAGCCCCAGACAACCCCAAATAAGGGATTTTTTAAAATGATTTGGGGTTGGAAAGGGAGCCCTGGAGAGGGAAAGTGTTTCTGTGGCTGATCCAGCTCCTCTTTTTGCTGCCAGAGCACAACACAGAAGCGCCTGTTTGAGCAATTGAGCATGATGTGACCTGAGAGTCCCTGTGACACCCCTGTCCCCCTCTGCCAGGGGGGACAAAAGGTTTCTGAGATTTTCACTGGGCATTTCAGCAAGGTGATGTACAAACTTGTGCCAAACACTGTGCCTGTTTCTCCCAGTCACAAGAGAAAACAACAGAAGCAAATTGAAAGAGCCTTCTTAAGAGCTCTTCAGCTGCAAAGCGAGTTCTTCCTGGGTTAGGATGGGCTCAATCTGAAAAGGCAAAGCAAACTGGTTAATACACACACACACACACTCCAGAGAGGACAGGCAAGAGTTACAGAGAGCAATTGTTAATAATAAAAACACATTAATCCTGTCTTGGATGAGAGGATCCATGCAGTGCTGGGTGCTGCCCAGAGATCTGAGGGCTTGTTTTTGCCCTTGCCAGCTGTTTCCCTGGGACAGCAATGCCTGATGTGTGCAGTGGAAATAGGGCATTGGGTGGCTGTGGTGACCCTTCTGCACAGGGATTCTGGGGGTGATTACAGGGTTTATTCCACCCAGCCCCAAACAATTCCATATCTAGCAGAGAACTGCTGCCCAGACCTCAGCAGGGCTCCACATTTTGGGAGCAAAGCCTGGTAGGAAGAAGAAAGCCTTTTAGAGGAAGCTCATGACAGTGAGAATTCCTGAACTGGGAGTGGCATGCAAGGGAAATCCCAAATTGGAGGTGCTGTTCCTGTGCCTGGGAAGAGCTTGAGCAAGCAGAGGAGGAGATGTCTCACAACCTTCACCTGCTCCCTCTGCTCCGCTTGCTGGAGCCAGAGCTGCAGCACCTGCAGCCGTGCTGCCACACGCTCTGACAGCTCCCTGAAGGCTTTCTGCAGCTCATTGAGCAGCCTCAGCAGCTGCCTGCTCTGCTGCGGGGTCAAATCCTGCGCGTGCTCCGAGATGAGGAGCTGGATGTCAAAGGCAGCGGCGTCCAGCTCAGCCTTGGTGTCAGCAAGGGGCTCCTTCAGCTCCTGAATGGGAGAGAAAAAACAGCCAAAAT